AATTAAACTTTATCATAGGTATGCATATATAGGAAGAAGCATAGTACACATGGGGTTGGGAACTATCTGAGGTTTTAGCCATCCACTGGTGATCTTGGAATGTATCCCTCAGTGGAAAGGAAAGGACGACTGTACTAGGAGGCGGGGCCACTGAGGCTAACTTGTAGTCTAGGTGCCATAGGAGGCAAAATCCATGACCTGGGTGTGAAGTGGTCACTTGAAATGATAGCAGGTGATGTGAAATAATATGAGCTAATGTGTTTGAACACTTATCACTTCCAGGAAGTAAGGTAAAGCATTTTACATGTATTATCTCACTTAAGCCTGGAAACAACTCCATGAAGTAGGGAGGCACTGCTATTATCCGGAGGGGGAACCGGAGGGCAGAGGGGTCAGTAGCCGCGTGGGAGCCCTGTTACAAAGAAAGACTTGTCAGGACGTGGAAAGAGATGGAGTGTAGAAGAAGGTAATGGGCTGTTACAAGTGTCCTAGAGAATTTTTACTGGCTAATGAACCACCCTTCATGGTTCATCAGCTGCTCAATTCACCAAGGGTTGGGATTCATTTTGAGCTGGCCAGAGCAGCTAACCAGGGGAAAGCATACTCTAGCCAAAGAACAAGCCACAGGCCACTCATTTAGTCAGCAATGGGAACCGAACCTAGGCCAGCAATTCGCCCTTGTTAGGGTCCCTAAAATGACCCCAATTGCTAGTTCTCTGTCTAACCTTGACCTTCTGCAGTTTGGAGAGGCTGGGAATGAGCAAGTTTAATATTTGACCAGAACAAGTCAGGCTCTGGATTTACTAGACAGGCTGTGGAGATGGGGGGCTGATGCTCATTGTTTTCTGTTTGTTTGGGTTTTTTATTGATTACATATGTGTCCTTATCCCCCCCCCCCCCCGCCCCCCACACACACTCATGCCCTCACCCCCTGTTGTCTGTGTCCATTGGTTAGGCCTATATGCTTGCATATAAGTCCTTTGGTTCATCTCTCCCCCTTACCTCCACCCTCCCCTACCTTCCCCCTGAGGTTTGATGTTCTGATTGATGCTTCTCTGTCTCTGGATCTGTTTTTGTTCATCGGTTTATGTTGTTCATGATGCAAACTGTTTTGTTGTTGTTTTAAATATATTTTACAGAGATGAGGGAGAAGGATAGAGAGTTGAGAGAAACATCGATGAAAGAGAAACATCGATCAGCTGCCTCTTGCACACCCCCTACAGGGGATGTGCCCGCGACCAAGGTACATGCCCTTGGCTGGAATCAGCCCGGGACCCTTCAGTCCGCAGGCTGATGCGCTCTATCCACTGCGCCAAACCGGATTGGGCAATGCAAACTGTTTCACCCTTTCTTTCCCCAACACGTAGGTCTGGGCTTGACCACGTCAACCCTCCCCCCCCGCCCACCACACACCCTGTATGCTCTTCTTCAGTGGCGCACAATCGCTGCTTCTGCTCCGATTCCCTGCAAGCTTTCCTGTTCCCGGACTCAGCCAGCTCCTCCCTTCGGCACCGCCCTAACCTGTTCTTGCCGAAAATCACAAGATTCTTGACTTCTTCACCTTTCCTCCAGATTTCCTTTCTTTGCCCGCCCCGTCGCTGTTGTTTTCCATCCCCACCTTCCCAGCCTTTCTCCTCTTCGATACTGTCCCACAAAGCCACACCTGTCCCGCGAGCGCCCGAGAGTTTGACCATGTATTTAATGGCAACAAAAGAAAAAGGAAAGTAAGTTGTACGAGACGCGGGAGCAGAACCTGACAGATGAGCCCACTTGGCCGGCGCCACTCCGTGTAACTGAGAAGGGACGGCCGCCTCCGCCAGCCCCACCTTGTAGGGAGCGCGGAGCTGGGGGCGGGAAGGGGCTGGGCCGCTGGTATTAATAAGCTACGCCGCCCGGATGGCGGATGGCGGGCCAGTCCTCGCAGGGTGCAGGTGGAGGGGGTGGCCCCGGGCCAGACCACCCACCGCTGGGGGCCGTGCGCCGCCTGGACAGCGGGCTTGGGCTGTAGGCCACCGGCCTGGAGCGCGGCCAGGAGCCTGGGTGGGGCCCCGAGCGCGCAGCCAGTCACCCGGGCATGTGGGCCGTGGGTGGGGCGGCGCGGGCGGGCCGGGCTGAGGACGCTGTTTGCCAACATCTCACCGAGTGTTTGTCCAGCCAGCCGGTGCCGCTCGCGGGTGCCCCTGTCTCTCCCTCCCGCCCCGACAGCTTCCGCCGCCCCCACTGGACTTGGCGGGTGCGCGGGTGGGGGTTCCCGGACGGGATCGTGGGGGCGCAGGTGAGCCCTGGGCCCTGCAGGTGGGTGCGGGGTGGGGAGGGGCCGGGAAGGGGGGGATTGGGAGAGGACCAGGGGCGGGGGTGGGGGTCCCCGGATCGTGGGGGGCGCAGGGCTGGGGATGACCCGGGGCTCAGTCTGGGTCCCACGGCCCACGCCCTCCCACGGCAGCGCCGCGTCCGGGTGGGCTCAGGTGCCGGGCTGGGCGGCGATCTCGGCCTCGCCACCGGGTGTCCGGTGTCCGGTGTCCGGTGTCTGGAGTCGCGGGCGGGTGAGCCCGAGGGCGGGGGGCTAGTGGTGGCGGCCAGGGGTCCCCCGAGGGGGCGGCGGGCGGCACGTGGGGGAGCCTCGGGCAGTTCTGGGCGGCGGGCGGGGCTCCGAGTCCCCGAGGGGCGTGTGCGCGCGCGCGTCCGTCCGGTTCGCCCGCCAGGGAGCTGGGGGCGGGGTGGTGGCCGCGTGGGGGTGTCGCGGCGGCTCTAAGGTTTCTGGACTCAGTAGACGGGCCCTGGCGCCCAGTCTCCCCCGCCGCCCGGCCTCCCGCGGGCCCCGACGGCGCCCCGCGCTGACTGCGCCGCGGACCAGCACGCCCACCCACGTGGGTAGAGCCGTGGGGACCTCCTCCGCCCCAGACCTTCCAGGAGAGTCAGAAACAGGGTACCCTCTGCGGTTGGGGTGCGGAGGGCCGGCCGGACAGTGGCCCCGTCAGTTGCGGGGGATGGGGGGTGATGGGGCGAACACCTTCCTCCACCAAGTGGGCAGCCCTGCCCCGTCCTGCCCTCGGGGTTCCTGCGGGCCGAGGTGGATGGGCGCGGGGACAGCGACAGTGAGAAGTCACAACTTGCCCGGGTTCTCAGAGGTGTCTTTCCCTCCTCAGGGTCAAAGGGAATAGGCAAGGGAGGCAGCTTTCTCTGAACTGAGTCTCCTCACCTCCTAAAAGGCGTTTTTTACTTGATTGTCTATTTCATAGGAAGACTTAGATACCAATATTTTTTAAGTGAATAAGCCTTAGGCATATGTGGGCATAGATCTGGCATGCAAATGGTATTTTCTAGATAAGTCCATGTGTACAGTAATTTCAAATTCCTAAAGAATGGCATATATTTACAAACCTTAACAAATTGCTGTCACCTCTGATAGTTCATTTTATCCTCAAAAATGGCCTTTTGCAGAAAGATTAATAAGGTAAAGTTGCATTAAGAGAACTGAAAATCTGAAAACAGCTGGCTGTTTTACAATAATTAAAATCCAAACTCTATTCATAACATGAAAGTCATACTGTCGGTACTATAGTATTTTTATGATTTAGGCTGTATCTCAGGCTGTTTTGTTTTTGTTTTGTCTCAGAGTTGTTGGCAACCATTTTCGTTTTGTAGGACAGGGCTGTAGAGGATGTCCCCCGAGTTAATCTATGGGTGTCCTGGAAAACAACTGATCCTGTGACCCTTGGAAATTTATTTTTGGAATAAATAGCAGATGTGGGCTTGTGGCTTGTCATTACTGTCTTTTAAGAAAAGTGCTGTCATTAAAGAAAACTGAGTTAGCTAAGCCTTTTCTTTTTACTGGATCTTGAATAACTGGAAGTTTGCTGCACTCAGTATGTTAGGGGGAAAATCATTCGAGTTTGATTCAGTATCAGCAACAATTGTCCTGTCAGTCAGTGAAAGCGGGAAAAACCCTAGTGAATTAATTTCCTCGTTTCTATTTCCTCCACCCGGGCTGACTCCATTTGCCCCTGTAGCTTCACATAGATTTCCTGGCATCGTCCTCAAATTACAGAGATTCCCAGGGCAGGCCTTCATTTCACAGGCGAGGAAGCCGAGTCCAGAGAAGTGGAAGTCACAGCCGAAAGTCACACAGCTCATGAGAGGCAGAGCTGGGAGTCCGGACTGGGGCCCGTTGCTGGCTGTCCTCTGAGCACCCTGTGCTGGGCTGACTTTTCCATCTGGAAGCAGGGGGAGGAAAGAGTTCATTCACGCCAGCAGGAATCGACAGTCTTAGAATGGCATGCGTATTATTTAGCAGCCTGGCCACAGGACAGCTGTCCGTCAGTCCCCAGGGATCCTCCGAGCACACAAGGAAGCCAGTGTCTTTCCTTCAAGACCCACTGGTTCACTTCAGTGCCAACAGTCCATGTTGACTCCGACAGGCAGAAGGAAAAGCTAAACCCGCGAAAGAGCCTGAGCATCTCCTCGCGGAGGTGCCGTGGGACCCTTCGCACTGGGCGCATCTGCACCATTTGTGCTATGCCTCGTGGTTGTGTGAGAGGGGAAACTGAGGAGGAAACGGTGAGCAGACAACATCCACACCTGGGCCAGCATGACCTGGGTGGGGTTTTTCAACACCTGCCCTCCCTAAGCTAATCTGCAATGGCCAGGGTGAGGCTTCTGCCCAGAGGCACTCGGCCACACACCTTCAGTTCAGCATTTCCATGGCTGCGAGGATTGGCTGGTCTTCATTCGGCAAGTTCACAGGCAGAGCCACAGCCGCTGATGTTTGCATAGATGCTCCACTGTACTGCTGGAGGACGGTAGAGCCAACTCGGAGTCATGCTGCCCAGCTCTGCCATTTCCATCTTCTCCATCTGTGGTACCGGGCGAGGGAGGGCTGAACTCCAGGGCTGCTGTGCCCATTAAATGAGTGAATGCATGTACAGTGCTGAAGGTAGTGGCTGGCACAGCGAGTGTAAGCTCTTACCACCAGGCGCACTCTGAGCGGGGGAGAGGGGAGGAATGTGGACGTGGCCCGTTCAGGAGGTTCGATTTTAGGGTTTACTCACACTGTTATTGTTGCTAGGCTTCACCCCATTCAAAATGGGGAACAGAGCAGAAGCCTCAGGCTTTAGTGGGCTCCTCATTTTCCACCAATTTTATGTCCATGGACGTCAGCGATTGGAGCCATGGAAGGGCCAACAGAGGACATTTACTGGGATGTTAACGAGTTACCATTCATTTTGGTTCCTTATCCCTTCATCTCAGAGCAGGAGTCAAGGGTTCCGAGGAACCAAATTCTTCCTCTGGTTCCTGTCAGCCTCAGGACACCTCCCTTAGTGTGAATTTAGTGAGCCCCCTCCCCCCTCAGGAAGCTGTTAGAACCCCAAAGTCAAAAAGCATTATCAGACATCGGTTCTCTGGCTGTTAGATTTTTTGAGGGTCACCTCAAAGCAAAATACAAAGATAGAACCTGAGATAGGCAGGCCTGGCTGAATTTGGAGTCAGACACTGCTTTTAATTCTATTTTAATTTTCTCTTAATACAGTGTTCCATTTGCATTCAGGTAGATGAATGCGATGGGAGATGGAGTATAGGATGCAGTAGTTGTAGTCCCAGTAAAGGTCTTTGCTACATAGCGAACAGTTAGTGAATGTATGCAAACCACACTTGTCTCAAAAGACTGGTGTGGGTGGAGAAACAGTTTGCAAGGAAGAGGAGGAAGAGAGGAACCGCAAGGACACTCCCAGAGGGTGGGAAGAGCAACACAATCTGGATGTGTGGATGACAGCAGGTGAAGGAACCAGGGGGCGAAGTGACTAGTCTCAAGTTTAAGAGCATTTGAACTTAGTTTGGAGAAATGACATTTGAGAGAGCAGGGCTACATGGTGAGATTATCGAGGCATTATAAGCACCAAATTATTAATCAGTTCCTTAGAATTTGGGTGATCTTATCATATCGAAACACGTGAAAAGTCTTGTTTTTCCAGAATGGAATTGTATACATAATTTCCTTCTGACTACAAAAGTATGAAGGTTTGCTATTTAAAACACACACACACACACACACACACACACACACACACACACAACCAAACAGAAATGTATAAGGTAGAATGAAACCTCAAGGGGGATTGTCAGCCCCCTTCCACTGTGAAGCCACTTGTGACTGCACTCGTCCAGGCTACACTTTGGTAAGAAATCAAAGTGAATGACTCCTTAACATTCCCAGAACTGCCCTTCTCCTGGCCCCTTCCATGACTCCAAATGCTGGCTTTCACAGCCTTTTTAAAGGAGCCTCTAATCAACTCTTTCATACAGCAAGGATCCCTTGTAACGAACCTAGTCAGCTCTCCATCCCCCCAGTTTATCTGACCTGTAAATTTAGATTTTTTTAAATTAGGTTATCTGGAGGAGGTACACCTAAAACCTGGTGACCTTCCAGAACGTACGGAAGGGTTCTCTCCCGCACCTGCACTGTTTTCACGGTTCTAGTGGGCTGTCTGGACATGGCATTGTCCTTCTGCGAAGATGAGAGTACGTAATTGCGTTTATTCAGTGCTGCTTTTAAAGGGGAATGGGAAAAGAGCATGATGGTCTAATATTTATTTCTTCTTTTTCTTCCTTGAACATGGTTCTGTTTTGGTTCGGTTGAGGTGGGTAATTCCGTGAAGTCACAGAAAACAGTATTTTGTTTTGAAATAAGTTGTTTGGAAAGAGCCTTTTCATTTCCTCCTATGCCTTTTTTAAAAAATTCTTTTCTCAGCCATACAGTTGGTTTGTTAGGCTCTGAGGTAATAATATGTTTGCTTGGTTGGGACAAGGCCAAAGTTCTGTTAATTTTTTTGTTTCCCTGAGATTGACCCGTAAAAAGTTAGGGTTTGGTTTGTTTTGATAAAGTATCTTTGGAAATTACAGGATAGAGGTTACACAAACTGTTAACAAAGCGTGCCTCAGCTATTCTTTCCTCTGCCCCAGAAACAAAAAAGCGATGCTGTATTTCCTCTAAGCTTTATTCATAAGCTGTCCATACCCAGCGCCTACACATTTTAATACCGCCTGCTCTGGCTGTTGCTCTTTGCAGGTTCATGAACGGCATTGTGGGCAGTAAGTTTGGTGCCAGGAACCAAGAGCCAGTGAGCTGAATTAATCGTCCCAACCTTTCGGGGGTTGCTGTGAGTCTCTGGGAAAGGTCCCTCCAACTGCCAGCCCAGGTGGAGGCACACCTGGAAGCCATTTTCAAGAACCTTTGCCACAGGTGTAAAAGACTCCAGGCCTGAGAAGATGCTGAAACAGATACTGTCGGAGATGTACATAGATCCTGATCTGCTGGCAGAGCTCAGCGAAGAACAGAAACAGATCCTGTTCTTCAAGATGAGAGAGGAACAGATCCGCCGATGGAAAGAAAGAGAAGCAGCGATGGAAAAAAAGGAGTCCCTGCCAGTGAAATCCAGACCAAAGAAAGGTAAGCTTAGCTCCGTGCCGGCTGTGGACGTGTTAGGAGAATGGCTCCTGGCTTGTTTGAACATTTCGCACCAGTCAGAAGCAAGCCAGGTTTGCGTTCCTGTTTGGTAGATGGACCCTAAATGTTATTCTAATAGTGTAATTTATCAACTTGAAGTCTATACTCGGGCACACACACACACAGACACACACACACACAGCAATTACCCTGGAGTTGTGTGAGCAGATTGCTTGCCTGAAACCAGACAGACCTTCAGCTGAAGTAACAAGCCCCCAGGAGTCTGATGTGAGGGGTTTTAAGGGAGGTTTCTGTCCCCCTATTGTCATCGATGCCTAGTGCTCTAGTTACCAGCATACCAAGTGCTTGCATCGCATCTCTATGGCAATTGTGTTTGCATGTTTTAGACTTGAAGAGATTTTTCTTTATCTTTTTTAGGGAAAATCCCTCTTAAAATACAAATACTGCTATAAGGAAAAAGGTCATAATACTTTTTAGTATTATAATTTTCTTTTAGTGTGAGTTAACTTTTCAGATGTATTTCGTCCTGACCCAAGGAATCCCTTGGTAGCCTGAGAGGGCCTTTGAGACCATGGGGGAGGAATACTTTGTACATCAAGACTTAAAATATAAACACATACAGTCCTAGAAAAGCACACGTTAACCCTTCCCCCAACCAGCCACCCTCCCTCCCCTCCAACTCCCCCTGTCAAATTCTGTTATGGATGAATAACTAAGTTGTTTTTTTAAAAACACAGTTTCAAGGTCACTTACACAGGCATTCAAGACCAGTCTCTCCTCATTTTTTTATTAAGCTAGGGAAAATAAGATTTGATAAAACCATTCAGGGTTTCAAAGATTGAGAAAACGAGTCTTACTTGAATGCTGTATGTGCAGACTCAAAAGGAAGTCACTTTAGTGACATTTGCCTCATTCTGCTTTTTACTAATAACTTTTCCCAATTCAGCTTTATAATGACATAGAAATAAATGAGTATCTCATTTATTATTGTTATTATCAATAACAACTATTTGTTAAATACTTGTTTTGTCAGACACTGGGCAAAGCCATTTACACACATATCTCACCCTCACAACTTCTGCAAAAGTCAGTATTAATATTCCTATTTTACAGATGAATGAACTAGAATCAGAGAAGTAAGATATGCAAGGTCACACCGGCAGTAGGTGCCTGTTCTGTTGGGTTTCACAGTACCCTACACTGTCCAAAATAGACTTTTTCCTTCAGCAAGCAACTTGGTCCAGGCCAAAGCATAACCCTTTTGTCTTTCTGAACTGGTTTATGCCTCTCTGTGCATACTTTAGTCAGAGCTCATCAGATATACCTGGGCCTCTTTGGGCACCATGGTCATTGTGGACATAACATATTGATGTGGTGGCTGACTTTGGGGACTAGTGAGAGCGGAAAGGTTCTGGCCCCAGAGTCAGTGGCCCAGACTCTGTTAGACATTGGGCTTCTGCTGTTTGATGAATTGATCTCCTCGTGGTGACTTAAGAAACAATTTCCATTTATTTGCTTATATTCTTCCTGTGCAGAGTTTTGAATCTGCCTCTCAGAAAACCTGTATGACTACGTTAGCTAAGTGATCATGAAAATATATACATACAGTGAAAGTTCCATCAGTATTTCATGGGAGAAGTTTATTCCTCCCTTAAATTTAATACTCGGAGAAATATTTTCCATTACCTAGTTCCTCTTCTGAATACAGGAAAAGGGAGGCTTTGAGATTCTTTCCCTACTTCCCCCCAAAAAGACAACAGTTCCCTCTTTCCCATTGTTCTGCCTCCGAAGTTAAAGCCACAGATAAAGGCAGTATTATCAGGGCAGGTGGTTTCCAGAGGTGTGTTTGTGCTAGCCCCTGTCTCTGTTTGTCAGACGGCTCATTGTGGGCTTCTGCTCTTTTCAGACCTAAGCTCCCTGCCTCCCCTGTCTCCTCTGACTCCCCCGTGCCTTCCCCACCCCCATCCCCCCACCATCCTGCTTGCACCCAGATGACTTGAGTACTGCTTTTTCTTAGGCAAGCTGTGGCTTTGGAGACTGGCCTTTTCTTGGCTCTTTAAATGCATCTTTGAGCTTGTTTTGTTTTGTGAGTTTGTTACCCCAATAAATTTAATTTTAAATTTAAAATTTTTAAATTTAATTTTAATTTTATTTAATTAAATTTAAATTTAATTTTAAAAATTTAAATAAGTATATCTTATGCCCACCCCTGACTCCTTTACACCATTCCAGCTCATCACTCAGCCATGTTTACATTGTCACCTGGTCATTTTTATCTCTATATGGTTCACTGTGGTGAGTTTTGAAGGAGCATGACTAAACATTTGATATTGTGCATGCCAGATACCCGTCCACTTTTTAGTAATCCTAAGGCTAAAGTAGGAGGGGCTGAAAAACAATTGGAAGTATGGATTTAATTCTTTCTAGATCAGAAATTCATTTCCAAAACGTGGTGGGACAATGTGATTCTAAGAGAGAGAGAGAAGTATGGACCTCCTCCCCCCGCTGAGGTCTAGAGCTGTATGGTCCAATATGGCAGCCACTAGCCACGTGTGGCTATTGAGCACATGAAATGAGGCTAGTACGGATTGAGGTGTGCTAGAAGTGTCAATTACTGATTTCAAAGACTTGGTAAGAAGAAAATAATAATTTTATAGTCATTCTATATTGGCATCATATTTTGGATATCTTGGGTAAAATAAAACATATTAAAATTCATTTCACCTGTTGTTTTGATTTTGTGATGGAGCTACTAGAAAATGAAGTTATAGGTGTCACTCATTTAGACAGCGATACTCTAGACCAGTGGTCGCCAACCTTTCAGACCTCACTGACCACAAATGGTCCACGGACCACTGGTTGGCGACTGCTGCTTAGACCATAAAAGCAGCACCAGCCAGTGTTTATTGAACTGATGGTGTATCGAACCCTGAGCTCATTGCTTAAATATATCATCCCATTAATAATCACCACCAAGCCTGAAGCTCAATTAATGTTCACACTTTTGAGGCTAATGGACATTAACTAACTTCTCCAAGGCAACAACTAGTAAGTAAGTGAAAGAGCTGAAGAGGACCTTGAGTCTGACTCTCCCAAAGCTGGTGCTGTGGATAGATATGCTACACGTCGAGCTTACCTGGAGCTTAATAACAGTCACTGTTGTGTGCAGGTGCCTTTAGCACATCGGAACCATATGCTTGCATTGAGGCCCTGCCCTGGAGCCTTATTCTGTATGGTTTTTTCTTCTGGTACCACAACCAGAGGAGGCCTTTACTTAGTAGAGGACTGCCTAGCACCTGTTTCCTTGGGTCTCTCTAAAGTTGACGGAAACCTAGTGCAACAGGCTGGCATCTGGTCACTGCGTGTGTGCCCTTGAAATGGACTTGGAGTCCTAAAACTTCATTTGCTGGATTTTCATTGTCATCAAATGGGCAACTTCTTATATGCAGAGCCTCCTCTTTTTCATGAAACAATGATCAAGCCATTGGTTTGTGCCACTTGCAATGTTTACTTCCCATTCCCTTTACTCACTGGGAGAAAAATTTATAACTAAGGGGAAGTGCTACATAAACTTCCCTCTCTCATGTCCTCACATTACAGAATGAACGTAGTTTCAAGGTGAAGTTGGCAGGAAATCCAGAATGCCTCGATAGCAACGTGTATATACATAAGCTAATTTTATGTTATTTTAACTTAGAATAAAGACTTATTTATTTTTACTTTAAAACCATTATTTAATTACAGTTAACATTCAACATTAGTCTCAGGTATAAAACATAGTGGTTAGACATTTCTGTAACTTAGAAAGTGATCCCCCCATAAGTCTAGTACCCACCTGGCACCATACATAGTTATTAAAACATTATTGGTTATATCCCCGATGTTGTACTTTACATCCCCAAGACTGTTTTATAACTGCTAATTTGTACTTCTATTTAAAAATATATATACTAGAGGCCCGGTGCACGGATTCGTGCACTGGTGGGGGGGTCCCTCAGCCTGGCCTGTGAGGATTGGGCCGAAACCGGCTGTCCGACATCCCCCGAAGGGTCCCAGATTGCCAGAGGGAGCAGGCCAGGCCAAGGGACCCTACCAGTGCACGAATGGGGCCAGGGAGGGACGAGGGAGGTTGGCCAGCCAGGGAGGGACCACGGGAGGGCTACAGGGTGTGTCCGGCCCATCTCACCCAGTCCTAATCTGCCGGACCACAGCAGCAAGCTAACTTACCAGTCGGAGCGTCTGGTAAGTGATGCATTTGATTTGACTGGTTGACTGGTTGACTGTCTGCCCCCTGGTGGTCAGTGCATGCCATAGTGAGTGGTTGAGCAGCCTTAGTCTATCATTAGCATATTATGCTTTGATTGGTTGAACAGCCAACCAGTCAACCAGACACTTATATATTAGGCTTTTATTATATAGGATTTTATTGACTTCAGAGAGGGAGAGTGTGAGATAAAAACATCAATGATGAGAATCATCAATCCTTTGCCTCTTGCACTCCCCTACTGGGAACCCAGGCATGTGCCCTGACCGGGAATCAAATTGTGACCTCCTGGTTCATAGGTCAATGCTCAACCACTGAGTCACACTGGCCGCACACAAATGTCTTTTCTTAATGTCACTGTTTCTGCTATCCCAATTACTAAGTCTCAAAATGCTGGCATCATCTTTGAGTCCGTCCTTGATTCAGCCGCCTGGATTTTACTGTCCCGTTTAACACTGTTCTTTCCCTCATCCAGGCTGCAGCTACCAGTTACCTCCCTTCTGGTCTTTTCGCCCCTCTGCTCTCCCCATTCTCTTCCCACTCGGCCACCAAACACACACCTCCTACTGCCCTGATACACCTACATGCTGGTGTGCCCTAGTGCTTCCTAAGTCACTTCTCTGACCCTGGTACCACCTGGACAGACGGTCATGGACTCTATGTTGGTCAGTTGGTCAAGAACATGGAGCTAATACTTTCTGGACATTTATCATGTGACAGGCCTGTGAGGTCAGATTTATTACCTCTCTCTTATCAAAGCAGGAACTCAGGCTCAGAGCAGTAAAGTGACATGTTGGTGGAAACTCTGGGATTTTAATACCACTTTCTGGCTTTATGCAGTACAGGGCCTAAGTTTAAATCCTTCACCCATGTGTCTAGGACCTGTGCCTTGGGGGTCTCTGCTCCCTAGCAAAGTCCTCACCCCATGGTCAGGTGACTTCTAAACCCTCTTCAGCTCTGGGTGAGACCCTGCTTCCCCATAGCCCCTCACTGATTCCCTTCTCCGAGCTTTGATCGTGCTGTTCTTCGTGTTGGGCACCAAACCCTTTCCTGCTCTAAGTTCCATTTCTATCCACCAAAACTCCACACAAAGAACTTCTTATTTCTTTTCTATCCTTTGGTTTCTCACTGGACTTAAACATCTAAGGTGGTTATATAAGGTGGCCCTTCAAACTGGTTAGTTCATCTTTTTAAGCATTCCCATGGTCCCTTTAACACCACCCTTCCCAATTCAATGCCTGCTTCCTCCAACTAGAATGCAAGTTCCCTGAGAGCAGACAGTGGCTTTTCTTGTACATAAGTGTTTACATGCACCTACCTCAGTGCGTGTAGATACACAATAAAATTCATTAAAGAAGTAACCTAGTGCCTCCTTTTCTCTCACAGACTCTAGGGGACCTGCCGGAAATGGCCACATCCTATCCACACATCCCCAGTAGCATCGAGCTCTGCATCGTGCTCAGAGTTAGAAACTCTTACGTTTTTGTGGAATGAGCTAAACAGAGGCCTTACTAATCTTCCCTCATGTTGGCCAGACGCTGAGGGGGTCAGAGCCAACCCTCATTTTACTAGAATGACTTCCCGCCTCCCCTAAGGCTTCATGGCGCTGTGTGGAGCCACTTAGAGCCTCTCCCGTCTCTGCTTTCAGGCCCCTTTAAGAGCTCCTGCAGGCGAGGAACAGTCAGAGCAGATGTCAGCAGTGCCTCTCTGTCGAGAGTCCGTTATGGCAACTGGCTAAATCTGACATTTCACATCTAGTTCTCTTTCTTTTTGTCCCAAAACCGCGATTTCTTGAACGTCACCGTAGTCTCACCACCCGCCTCCTTTGAAAACTTCACGACTCTCCTTTGGTTCTCATCTCAAGTTTCTAAGCACCTTTCGCTGTTCACAGGCAGCCCAGGATTTCTCTCTCTCACCCTGCAGAGCAACGCCTTCTGCTCCTGCCTGCAGTTCATGGGACTCTTTGGAGACGGTTTTGGGGGAGCGTGTGCCACACTACTGAGCAGAGCTGCTGGGATCCCTGGGTCCCCCCTCTGCCCACCTGGCACTCTGCAGTCTCCTCTCATGGCATCTCCCTCCTGCTGTCAGAAATATCTGTAGAGGATCACTTAGGTCAGCGGTTCTCAACCTGTGGGTCGTGACCCCCTTTGGGGGTTGAACGACCCTTTCACAGGGGTCGCCTAAGACCATTGGAAAACACATATATAATTACATATTGTTTTTGTGATTACTCACTATACTTTAAGTATGTTCAATTTGTAACAATGAAAATACATCCTGCATATCAGATATTTACATTACGATTCATAACAGTAGCAAAATTACAGTTTTGAAGTAGCAACGAAAATAATTTTATGGTTGGGGATCACCACAACATGAGGAACTGTATTAAAGGGTCGCGGCATTAGGAAGGTTGAGAACCACTGACTTAGGTGAAGGTTGAGCGATGGACATAGTAAAACATATTATTCATTGCCCTGAGAGAGTGATCAAGGGAATTGTGTGAGGTATGACAACTTTCTAAAGTTAATGAGCCAGTTGGCATTTCCCCAAACAAAAGCCCCAGCTGGGCAGGGCTTGTCCCCAGGAGGGCACATTCAGGACTGATCTTCCCTTCGCGCCTGGTGTCCCTTCCCCTGCCTCTCCCCTGGTGAAACTGCGTGAGGTCAGCTTCCTTCGGAAGGAGGTATTTGACTCCTTTTGTAGTGAAGACTATGACTCAATCCCGCTGCCCCGTATCCTAGTGAGAACGTTATCGTCCTGCCGAAAGTCTCCACTGCATTGGGCAGAGTGGAACGCCCCACATAGAGATCAAATCTGACTGTGAGCAGCCTGCTCTTTTAATGTATCCTCAGGCAGCAAGAGGAAGTAGTCAACAATACAGTGCATGGAGACACTTTCATTGAAAACCTTCCTCTACTTACTGTAAGGAGACAAGACAATCCCAGTGTGGATTTCTAACCTATAAGCATGGCTGCCTGTGTTCCAGGTGGGAGCCCTTTTCACGTACCCAACACCACTGGCTGGCTTGAGATCCTCAGGGCCCAGATCCAACTGTGGACCATGAAGGCCCTGGGTAGGCCTGCCCTGAGACCTACAGATTTAGGGACTGTGCCTCTTGGCCTCTCCCAGGTATCTTCACCTTCCCCAGGGTTCAGGAGCATGACCTTTGTGGCCACATGTCAGCAGTAGGGCACTAGAATGTAACCCAACCCTTGTGACCAGTTGTAAACAAGGGTTATTTAAGTAGCTTCACCAAGTATCACACTGCCTACCAGTAGTATTATCTTCTCACAGCTGGTGTGAATCTCTGAGCAGCCATATAAGTAAAGAATAGGAGAGTGATGATAGCAGTTAACCTCCCTTGAACTCCTCGTATGTGGCAGGCACGAGGGGACATGCCTATACACCTAGCCTGCCTACTCTTGCAGCAGTCCTGTGTATAGCTATCAGTAGTCCATGCTGCAGAGGAGGAAACTGAGGCTTAGAGAGATTAAGTAATTTGTCCAAGTCACACAGCTAGTAAACAGCAGGGCTAGGATTTTAACTAAAGCCAGTCTAACTCTCAAATGCAAGCTTTTTGCCCAGCAACGCAGCCTATAAAGATAGTGAAAACACCAAACCCTGGGTGGTCTGTTAATTCTGGGGTACAGGGAGATGCTTAGACTTTAGGGGTTCTGGTATCTGATGTTAGCTCCGTTACCCGAAAGGTTGATGCACACAGTGCATGCTTCCATCCCGTCTCGCCTCCTTCATTTATAAAATGGGCACGTTCAAAAACCATATTCATTGTCCTGGCTGGTGTGGCTCAGTTGGTTGGAGCATTGTGCCATACACCAAAAGGTGTGGGTTCAAATCCTGGTCAGGGAGATCCCCTGAAACCGATTGATGCATCTTTCTCATATCAATGTTTTTTTCTCTCTCCATTATTCCCTCTAAAAATCAATTAAAAAAATTAAAAAAAATATTCAAAACAAACATCACTGCCATGTCCATTGTTCTGTAGAAAATCTGCTTGTTCCTGGGCAGGTTGGAAGTGCTTCGCCTCCTCTAATATCCACCTCCCCTCCTCAAAGACCCTAAATACTTCAATGATGGAAAACATAGTAACCCTTGACTACAGATACTGTTCAATCCGAATTTTGTTTTGCTTGCAGAGAACAGCAAATCTGTTCATTGGAAACTGGGAGCCGATAAGGAAGTCTGGGTGTGGGTGATGGGCGAACACCATCTAGACAAACCCTACAATGTGCCCTGTAATGAAGTCGTTGCTGAGAGCACCCAGCCCAAAGCACAGCAGGAAGCGGAAGAGCTCAGGTATGCAATCTGCAAACCCATGAGAGCCTCTTGCTCACAGGATCTGGTGGGATTTCAAGGGTCACAAAAGTGACTTAGATCCCTCTGGAGGGTCCCTGTAGACTCCTGGTGATTCCTGTCCTTCCCACCATCGAACTAGCTGTTTCCTTTTCCCACTTGTCATTCCATTTTGATGTGGATGTGGTTTTCCCAGTGATCACTGCTTTCCCTGGAATCATGCTAGAGCAACGCAGGCCGATACAGGTGGACATCAGGAATATAAGTGACCGTTCAAGCTTCCGGCCCTCAAAGAAGATTGCCTAGCTGTGGGCAGCTGATAAGCAGGCCCGTTAGGTGCTTCCCCCTGTGCTGGGCACTGGGAAGTCAAAGATGAACCAGGAGCTTCAGTCTGGCAGGAGAAACAGGCAACTCCCCGCAGCCAATACAGACTGTGATATGTGCTACGATTAAGTTCTAAACAGAGCATAGACGGAGCCTGTGGGCAATGTTGAGTTCTGAGTATTTGGGGTACACATGGGCCCCCACACAGTAGGAGATGGGGCCATGTTCTAAAGGCCAGGTTTAGGAGTTTGGACAGCATTCTGTGGACAGGAAGAGGTTTTTGAATAAGGAAGTGACAGGATCAACTGAGAGGTGACTAGGGTGGGAATAGTGAGTAGGGGATGGATCCCCTCTGTGTGGTGGCCAGGGTGACCTCTGTGAAGCCGGTTCTTCCTAGAGTGTTGCAGACCTATCTGAGCTGGTGACATAAAAACAGACACATAGACTTCGGTTCAGATCCCCAGGGCTGGTGACGCTGCCTTCCACCTTCTGTAACTTAGAACTACATGTGGACATACAGAGCGAAAGGAATTACCTTCTGCTGATCATAGGAAGGTGGTATGCCCTGGCAGTTTAACATCTGAACCAGGAGATGGGCAGACCAGGGTTCAAATCCTGGCTATCTGCTATGTGGCCTTGGGTAAATTATATAGTTATTTTGAGTCTCTTATATAAAGCAAAGGTGCCTGGTTGGCTAGGCTCAGTGGTTGAACCAGGAGGTCATGGTTCGATTCCCAGTCAGGGTACATGCCTGGGTTGTGGACTTGATCCCCAGTAGGGGGCATGCAGGAGGCAGCCAATCGATGATTCTCTGCCATCATTGATATTTCTATCTCTCTCCCTCTCCTTTCCTCTCTGAAATCAATAAAAAAAATATATATATTTTTAAAAAGCAAAGGTAATAGTGCCTTCCTCACAGGATTGTTCTGAGGATTAAGTTAATCTCTTTAAAATACCGAGCCAAGAGCTCAGCGGATTATAAACACGCAGCCAGTGGTATCTGTTTCTGGTTTTCACATAATCCGAATGTGGGCATCTGCTTTGGAAAAGCTGTCCGTGTTCAGGAATGCCTTTGGTAATTCCACATTTGTTTCTCTTCAGCAAAGCTCAGTCCAAACATTTCACCAGTAGCTTGACCACAAAATCACACGACTGTGATCTGCAAACACCAGGTACCTGGGAGTCTCCGAACATCTGTAAGAAAGTGGCAGGACAGGAGGAATCGGACCCAGGCTCGAGACCAGCACCGACCCTTAAAGAAGAGAAAACCCCAGTGAGTCTTTCCTATCTGCAAACGTGCAGAATTTCATCCCTGGGGAGACAAAGGTATTGGGACCACTGAGACAAATGAGCTGGGCAACACATTCTTAAACTGGCTTTTTTTTGCGGGGGGGGGGGGGGGGGGGGGAGTCTTCTTAACTTGAAGGTCCTACTGTTCATTGCAGTTGGGGGATTTGGTTCACCTGTAAAGCACCTCTTCTTCATGGGACTGAAAGTGTGAAAAAAGAAGTCTAGGAATAAAATGTTGCATGTTAAGCTGTTTTCGGGGTTTATTTTCCCATTTTATGTCTTCTAATCTGGGGTCCGCAGCTTTTGCTGGGAAGGGCCAGATAGTCCACACCGAGGGTGTGGGCCCGAGGGTCTTTGTCTCAGCTGAATGGGCACGGCGGTTCCAGAGAAACCTTATCTACCAGGCGGGCAGAGGGCCGGGTCATCTGCAGGCTGCAGTCTGCTGGCCCCTGTCCCGTAACGCCGGCCCACTTGTGATCTACGTTTTGTTCTCTTGAGTCTCCCCTTTTAGTTGAGGACAAATATCAGTGCCTCTTTGGTTTTGTAGGTTCTGCCCACGATTGTGGGGACAGCTGTTTCCTCAACACAGCAGAGTTTTATACTCAGAACTGGCAGGGGTTCTCTTCTGCTTCAGGTGTTTAAAAAGCTCAAACATAATTTGCTGCTTGGAGGATCATGTGGAAGAACAATGATACTATATTGTCAAGTACCTCCTGCTGCGAGGAATTTCATGACACTGAGAATTAGTGGGGGATTGGCACGGTGGCTTCTGCTCGGGTCCTCGGCTCCGCCACACAGGTTGCGTATCTCACCCTCCGGAGGCCGTGGGAAAGGGGTTCGGTTATCTGTCTTGCCTACTTCACAGGCTCAGCCACGGCAAGCACACTGCTGAGTGTCTCCTCTAATTCTCAGCGCAGTTATGACCGGGGGGGATCTGTGTTTGTCCATTATACAGGCGAGGGAGCTGTGGTCAGGTGTGCTTACGCCATCTGCCCAAGGCCTTCTAGTTGATAAAACACTGAACCAGGATTCAAAACTAGGTCTGCAAGAGCCCTACCTAGGTCACTCTGTAACTATTGTCCTCGGTCGCCTTATTCATCTGAGGAATGTGAAGGCGCTTTACAAAGGGCTGTACATAGGAGGCTCCAAATATTTAGGGCCAGAAAATTCTAAAGTTTGGCTTACACCCCAGGGTCAGCCCTGGGTACTTTCAGTGAGGCACCCAGGTTTTCCTAGGCCTGCTTTGCTCTCAACACCTTTAATACCAAACTGCCTCCGACAGCCAGCCCGCTTTCCAACACCCCAAAAGTGAGGAACAACAGCGACAACAAAACACTTCAGTCCGGAGCATTAAGTATGCACGCTTCTCCTTGAATTGCAATACTTGCCTAGAAAACAAATTTCACGAGGAAGACAAAAAGATTAAAATGCAAATTAGATATCCTGGTTACTCTTCTTTTCCTACGTCATACATATTAGAGGGAGAGTGGCACTCTCCCGTTCCTTAGGTGTTTGCCAAACTGTCCTATGGAGAGAGACTGGGGCAGGGGACCAGGAAATCTGTAGGTACAGGCCTATGGAAAAAGCGGGTAGAAGTTTTTTTCTGTTCCTGCTTTTCATCTTTCTTTGCGTCAGAGAAAATGCTTCAAGGTCTTAGAAAAAAATATATATATATATATAGACAGTGAGAAGGTCGAAGATGGACTGGTTTACTCATTCATTTAAAAAGTGCCCATCCTGTGCGAGGCATTGAGATGACAACTTAGGGGTGAAAGCAGAGTCCCTGCCGCCCTGACCTCTGGTGGAGCAAGCAGGGAGGGACTGCACGCAGCACATCATTTCCGATGGTACCTGCTCCAGGGAAAGGACGTGTTCCCTGCGCCCATTACGCTAGAACAGGAGCCGTGCAGGGATGGCAGGGCGGCTTTGCAGGGGACAAGCAGCTGGAGATGGCGAGACAGGACGACTGTGGCCGGCGGGGGAGCAAGGGGGGCTTTGACTGGAGTGTAGATGGGAAGGAGAAGAGGTTATTATGATTGAGTGAGGGGGTGGGGTGGGCAAGGCCAGGCAGGATAGGGTCTTGGGGACAACTTAAGCATTTTGACCCTTTTTTTATCAAGAACAATTGGAAATTGTCAGTGATTGTGGAGCGAGGGCCTGACCTGATCAGATTTCTATTCTGAAAGGGATTTAGCTGTCACTCAGCCAGGTCCTGAGACGTGTAGGTTGGGAAGCAGATGCCACTGCAGGCAAAGATGAGTCTGATGAGGAGTTAATAGGAGCCAGAGAAGATGACGGGCTGTGCAGTGTGTGAGCAGACACCCTGCCCCCAGCCCGGGAGGGAGCTGGGGTAAGAACTCGGCACTCAAGGCTGAGGGGCAGGGTGTCATATCCTTAGGGACCCCAGTGTGGACAGCCCTCCAAATGCAGCCAGTGCCTCCCCCAACCCCCTCCTGCAAGAGAATTTGGGAGAGAACAGAACAGTTCTGAGTGTGGCTGGGAGAATGGCAGAGATGCTGATTCAGAGATAAGCTCCTTTGTGTTTCTCTGTTATATGAAATTTGTAGACTGGGAACTCATTAATCAGTTGCCTGACTATCCTTGCCCTAAAGGGGACCTTGAATAAAACTGTATCTGCTCATTTGTAGATTTTATTTCCAGAGAATTACTATTTTTACAGAAATGGCCTTCAGAGTGGACCACACTGAAAAACAGGAGATTAAAAAAAAATAGACCACAAACATCCAGGATGCAAAGCATTCAAAAAATAGTAAGACCTTGAAGATAGCAGATTTAAAATCCTTGAGCAAGATCCTTCCCCTTCATATCCTCTTTAACCAAATGGAGTTGGAGGTGAGCCTTTCTCACCCCTACCGTGTGCACACAGACACACACATTGCACAGGCCACACACACACACACACACACACACACACACACACACTGCACACACTGCCACAAGGTCCTTACACCAGCTTTTAAGCCTGTCATTTCACTATAACTGATAACAAAATCTCGCCACTAAAATGTACATTTTGCTTGTAAACTTGACATTGAAACCATGGTGGTTTTCAAATATACTTGTGTTATTCTAATTCATAGCATTCTGTTCCCATTCGTAGGTAGCAGTGAAGGAGCAACCCATCAAATGATTTTCAGCCATAATGAGACACTTCCACTCAGCTTGCCCTTGAGACCACAGCTTAGCTTGCTGTCTACTCAGACACCGACAGTTCCCTAAAAGCAGGTTTGGGGTTTCTGCCTTCATAAAGGAGAGACTCAGAAACCAGATACTAAGATCAGACCACTTCTCTGAAAGAAAAGAAAAGAATATGCTGAATTGTCTGTTTGGACCCTTATTCATCTCCAGGTGCTCTTGCATAGCAACCAAAGTTTGGGGGTTGATGTGACTTGCACTTTCTGTAAAGGATGAAAAGCAGTATTAGAGCCCAGACCCTTAGGTGATTTAATTAGAAGTGAGTATGGCCCTAGCCAGTTTGGCTCAGTGGATAGAGCGTCAGCCTGTGGACTGAAGGGTCCCGGGTTTGATTCTGGTCAAGGGCATATGCCCAGGTTTCGGGCTCAATCCCCAGTAGGGGGTGTGCAGGAGGCAACCGATCAATGATTCTCTCTCATCATTGATGTTTCTTTTTTTAAAATATATTTTATTGATTTTCCACAGAGAGGAAGGGAGAGAGATAGAGAGTTAGAAACATCGATGAGAGAGAAACATCGACCAGCTGCCTCCTGCACATCCCCTACTGGGGACGTGCCCGCAACCCAGGTACATTCCCCTGACCGGAATCGAACCTGGGACCCTTCAGTCCGCAGGCCGACGCTCTATCCACTGAGCCAAACCGGTTTCGGCTCATCATTGATGTTTCTCTCTCTCTCTCCCTCTTCCTTCCTCTCTGAAATAAATATTTTTTTTTAAAAAGAAGTGCATATGAAACCACGGTGAGTAGGTAAGGTGGAGAAGCCTGCACCACCCCAGATAGATGCCCTTGTCTGGCCTGGAGGAACACCCTGGGGTAGCCTGGCTCTCATCTGTAGAGAGCCATACTGCCATTCCCTGAAAGGGATTTGGGCTCACACTTAAAGTAAGGAAGCCCACTGTAAGCAGGATGAGAAATGTGTTCCTGAAATGCAAACTAGAATTTTGAGTTGAATATGAGAAAAAAGGAATAATCCCAAACCAGTAACTGTTTCCCGTTTGTATATTCCCTTCCACTATACATGCAGGAAGTACGCCAATATTATTTTTGTGAGAGACAAAGTATTGCCTATACTGGGTAAAAAGAGATGAAGAATTAATTGTGCTCATTTTGTTAATTCAAGAGGACAGCCATAACCAGAGAGTAACACAATTACCATGCAGTTCTGTGTAACTGTAATAGAATTTTGTGGTAGTTTGTAAGATAAAATTTTACACAAGATATATTTTTAAATCCTGGGCCTTAAAAGTCATTTAAATGGTTGTGTTTTTATAAACAGGATGTTGCATGAAAAGCTTAACATAAATTACAGAAGAGGAAAACATTTCTAGTCTTGAGAGTTGTACATTATGAAGTTGATGACACACTTCATTTTGTATGACTGCAAGTGATATTTGCAATAATTCACTTATCCAGCTCACTAGAGGTAGTGTTCTGGGAAAAACAGATGGATTCCTGAGTTAGGAGACATGGAGTCCTGTTGACCACTAGGAGCCAGCCATTTGATCTCTAAAAAAAATGGAGGTTACAGTGGCTACATATCACTGGTTTGAATGTAAGAATGAAATGAAATAATATACATAAAATTGTTATGTAAAGTATTATGTCTGATATGTTTTTTCTATCATTATTTATAGTTAGGTTCCTATTTTCCATTGTGTCAAAACTTCCAAAATCAATCATGTGTTTAAGACTCCTTGTCTATTCTCTTAACAGTCCTTTATTTATACTAATACTTTATATCTAATAATTACTTTCTTTCCCTTGCT